GCATACAGATTATCACAGCTCATTGGATACTGTCTATTTGCTGTTTTGGCTTCCGCCAGCCCCTGTACTCTGTATTACTGTATTACTGTTAAGCAGGCCTTCGGTAATCTCGGATTACTGGCCGATTACGGTGCTAAACCCATAGGGGCGGGTTTGGGTCGTGACATATGCGCTCGAGTGGACCACTTTTGCGCTCGAATGGAACAAATTTTGTGTTTGACGCTCGAGCGTCAATTCTTCCGCTCAAGCGGACTTTGCGTATATCAGATCGCTAAAACAACATTTTATATCACTTTTTCATTCTTCTCTCTCTCTATAACTTTCCAAAAACTTAGATCTTGACTCTTTCTCTTTACATTTTGATCTAGATCCTTTGGGTTCTCGATCCTAGTATCTTTGAGAAAAAGTTAGAGCGTTATAAGGGCTTTATTTTGATCCGATTGGAACTTGGTTTCAGCGTTGTTGAGGATTCCACTTTGCTTTGCTTGGTCTTTTCTTTTTGAGGTAGGGATTTTCTACACTTTAATATGGTTTTTAACTTGGTTATGTGTTGTTATGTAACAATAGTGGGATTTGGGGATAATGTGAGCAAACTTAGGGTTTGGATGTAAAATGGAAAGAGGGGTTTTTGGTGAATGAGAGTAAAATAATTGTGGGGTTTGATAATGATGTTGTATGGTGTTAAAATTGTCAATTTTGGTACATGGTTGAAACTTGGGAAAAGAATGGAGTTTGCCCTAAAATGGTTATAATATTTATTTTGTATAAATAAATGAAATTGGTGTTATAAACATGAAATTGGATGAGTATTGAAATACATAATGGGATTGAGTAGATGATACGTCTCATTTTTGAAAATTTTGAATAAAGTATCTGTCTTGAGATTGAATATCTGTTTAGAAATATCTGTATTGGGCTTTCGGTGGAGGATAGCTATGATTGATGTAATAATTGCATGAGGATTAGGTAAATTGAAACTAATCATTTAATTGTGTCATTGAATATGACAATATGTTAAGGCATTGAATATGTATAATTGATAGTCATTGAATATGACGGTACATTTAAATACATTGTATATGTATAATGTTTTTAGAGGAGAAAGGGGATGTACTCCATGTTTTGGGAGAAGATAGGGGATAGACTCCATTGAAATTAAGTTGGCCGGAGTGTCCAGAGTGAAAGTCCCGAAATCATGTGTATACATGGGTGCTGATCCCGCGGACGAAATTTCCTTAAAATGGCAAGATTGAAGTACCTGTATGACGATTTTGTTAATTGAGAACCACTGAGTTGTAGTCTCAGTTGGATTATTCGGAGAATTATAAACTTGGCCCATAAATTAAAACGAAATAAATTAACTTGAAATGAATAAATGGGAAATGATTAAGATGTGAACGTCGGTATTGTATGGTCATATAGAAAATGTATGTTTGTCATAAATATTAAATATATGCTTGACACTTATATCTTCGTTAAACCTCATATACTGTGTTAGAATATTTCTACTGGGTTTTGCCTCACCCTACTTGGAAAATCATTTTTAGGTGCCGGTGACATAATTCCTCTAAGGACGTAACTTGGGAGGACTTAGGAACTGGAGGCTCTATTTTGTTATTTTGTGCTTAAATATTTATTCAAGCCGAGAGCTTTATATATACAGAACTTATGACTCTCTTTTGTTGTAACCGAGCAATGTTTTGGAAAGATGTAAACCTGTAGGGCATTTATTTTGTTGATCATTAACTGGTATTACATGCTATAGATTCAAGATGTACATTTATGAATGTATATTTCATGTGTTATCTTTTGTAATATGAACTCTGATGAATGAAAGTACTTTATTTCTATTTTTCTTCCACTTATGAGTTGGATTTATTATATTAGTTTTGGGGGCGTTACATTTTTTCTCTACTTCATTACGAGATTTGTCAATCTATTTGTTTTTTTTTATTTTTATTACCTCTTTTCACACATACAACACAATCCACTTTTATGTTTCTTTTGTTAGTTTTTTGTGATTCATCTATGGTCTCACTATACTTGTATGCTCTCTGTATGAGCAAAACTAGATAGGATTTCACCCCCCGATTAACCACTGAAAGGTGGTCTAACCTCCTTTGTTTGCATGCTTCTGTTGCTGTTTCAATTATTTGTTCTCAAATAAATAAGAGATGTTCAGTTATCTATTCCTAAACAAATAAACAATGTTTAGACTTGTCTTCCAAAATTTTGGTCAGATGTGTAGAAGTTCAGTCCCAAAAAAATGATGAACAGTTTTTATTATTTTGTCATTTTTTTTCAAGAAACTTACCCTTACAAGGCTAATCTTCTCTAAGTTAAGAATACCATCAAAGTTATAAATCTTTTCTGAACTTTTATTGTTGTACTCCTCTCGTCTCATAGAGTTGTGATTGTTGAAAAAATTTCCACTCATTATCATTGTTGAAGAAATGTATGTAATCACAAATTGTTGCCACTGTTGCTGTCGAAATATTTCCGCCAAAGGATTTTTAAGATTTTGAGGGTGGATAGATTTTGAAGGTGAGATTTGAAAAAGTTGGATAGGTGGGGATGGAGGTGGGTAGTCTCATAAACTCTAACTCATGATGAAATGAGTGTGTGAGCTTAATTATGAGATGAGATGTCCTAAAATTTTTGATCTCCTTTTTAGTAATTTCGTTTGAGATTATTATTGTAAAAAAAAATTAAAAATCAAAAATCAAAAATAATTAATAAGGTGCTAATAGTAATACTCTTTATTTATTATTATTTTTTTCTAGGCACTGTTTGGTTCAAATCATAAAGTGTCCAAGGCACACCGAGTGGCAAAGCACCCCTTGCTGTCAAGGCTCGAACCTGATTTTCCAATCATAGATTTTTGTTCCGAAATTGTATAATTTTATTCAAAGTTGTTATTCAAACTAAAAAGAAAAAAAGTAACCAGGGGTGGGTGGTCTTGTGGTAAAAATATGGGGATTAAGTCCTCAGGTCATAAGTTTAAATTCTCCCTGAGCCAATCTCTTGGGCGTAGCACAGTTGGTTAGAAGGTTGGATTTCAAGTTGTCTAACCAGCACTTGATGTGGGTTCAATACTCTCCGGCTGTGTGAGTCTTGACTTAAGCGGAGCTTGTCTTGGGAGATCGAGGCAAGTTCCTAGGTTATAGTCTCCTCGCTCGGAATGGCTAACAGAACACTTTGGTGATCTCTACAAAGGAGCGACCTTGGACTTGCGGGAGTGTAGAAAGGATTTTCTTGTAACAAAAATAAATAAATAAATAAATAAAGTTGAGATCCTTTTTTTCTTGACCCCTATCATTCCTAACGTATTAGAATTGGCCAACTTTTTATTTATTTATTTATTTTCCCTCCTATTACTCAATCACTCAATGTGTCTATGGAGATTGTGGAGGCTAAGAAAAAAGGGAATTTTTATCATTTTTAAAACTAAAAATAGCGTACGACGAACCGAAAATAAATTGATTTACAAAAATAGAATGAGGATTTATCTGCAAATTTTAATGGCCAGTCATCTCGGCCCCATGCACCGTTGGGCTCTCAATCTGCTCGGCCGTTACCTCGGCCCAACTCCTGATCATAAATCACCCTCTCAACTATTAAAAAAATATCACTAATTGTTAATTTTCAACGATAATTGAAAATTTTTGTCACAAAAAAAGTCACTAATTATAAATTTTAGTGACAGTTTAAAAAATGGTCACAAAAAAACACACTAATTTTCAATTTTCAACAACAGTTTAAAAAATTCGTCACAAAAAGTCACTAATTGTCATAGTGACAATTTATAAAAACTGTGACAAAAAAATTAATAATTATTAATTTTTAACAACATATATAAAAAAAACGTTATAAAAATTTATTTTTAATAACGATTTTACCAAAACTTTTTTTTAATAAAATTTGATAAAAATTAAATCCTACTATTAAAACTTATTAATAGTTTATCCAAATATAATCTTCTTAGTTTTTCCCATTTGATTTTAACAAATTTCCAAAGCGATGAACTACTACACTATTTTGAATCAATTAAAATGTGTCCTACTCACAGACTTTCAAATTGTGTAAACAAAACAATTTCACATAAATTTCATAGTTGCAGACATCCATCCGGCCATGTTTAGTGTGGATGTCAATTAGCTTATCCACCCCCCACACACACACACACACACACACACACACACACACACACACACAACAAAAACGAAACCAAGAAAACACACAACAAAAACGAAACCAAGAAAAAAAAATACTTAGGCCCGTTTGGAGACTTACCTTTTTAGCCAAAAAATCAAAAAGTTACCCTTTTAACCAAAAAGCTAACAACTCATACCAAAAAGTCAAAGATTCTCTTTTCTCTCTACTTTTTACACATCTTTTCGTAATTAGCCAAAAAATCATCCCAAACATATAAATTTTTTTTACCTACTTTTTAGCCAAATAGCCAAAAAGTTACTAAATTAACCTGTTCCCAAACGAGACCTTAGACTGTGATTGAATCATGAATTTAGATAAAAATTTAAAAAGATAAAATAAATAAAATAAATATAAATAAAACATAATTATATTTCACATGCATTTCATTTACATTTTCCTCTTTTGTTTTCAAATTCCTATCTAAATTCATGATCCGAACACAATACAAAAGCGTTTTTTTTTTTTTTTTTCCTTTTTTCCCTTACTTTCTTATTTTGCAATGAACTGCATCTTCTTTTCAAAGAGAGACTGATCCAACACATACAATTTGGGAACTGTTCATTTCAAAAAAATGTCAAATAAAAATATTTACTTTTATTTATTTTCAAAACAAATTTTCATTCCCTCTAACCCCTCCAGCCACCCCCTCTAACAACTCATAATTTCTTGTTTTCGCTTTTCATTTGTTCTGAAAATATGAGTAACAAGTATATATATATATATTTTGGCACGTTACCAAACACCACCTAAACATTTAGGGAAAAATTAGAAGCCAATACCCAAACTAGCAACTCAGCTCCCACCTTGCATTGAATTTGGTTACAACCAAAATAGCTTTTCTAGCAAAGCAAAATATGCTTTACCAAAAACAAAAAACAAAAAAATAAAGCATAAATACGATTACAAGAAGAACAAAAACAAATTTGGGGGGAAAACAAAAGACACAAAGATATAGGGAAATGATACAACAAATGGAATTTACATTGAAAGGGGATTATCAAAACACCAGTATATGTGAACTCTAGAAAAATTAACAATGAGATGCACAAAATTGGGATACCAATTATCATTTCACTCCCAATTTATCCATTTCAATTCTCTCTCCGTAGAAACCAATACCTAGTTTTTTTTTTTTCTTTTTCTTTTCTTTTTTTTTTTGTTTCCCCTGTTCTCTACTCTACAGTTATTTCTAATACAGTAGTGAGCCTTGGTTTTCTGTATCTTCTTAGAAGCAAAGAAGAGCAGACAACACTTACAGATGAGAGAGCCATGCATGCCCCGGCTGCCCATGGCGGCAATTCGACTTTTACCCACGGAAAGAAAACTCCAGCGGCGATTGGAACCGCAATCAAGTTGTAAGCCATCGCAAACACGTAATTCAATCGGATACGTGTGAAGGTCTTTCTTGAGAGATCAATGGCTGTGATTACATCTTCTAAGTTATTTCTCGTCAACACGTAGTCGGCTGCCTCGACAGCAATGTCTGTTCCAGCTCCGATTGCCATGCCAACATCTGCAGCAGCTAAGGCAGGAGAGTCATTGATTCCGTCACCCACCATTGCCACTACACTTCCATCACTCTGAAATGAACGAATGACATCAGCTTTTTCAGCTGGCATCACCTCTGCCCTTATGTCTTGAATCCCGACCTGACAACCAACATATATTACATTTTTTGAGTAGCCAATTCAATATGACCGACAAATAATTATCGGAGTATGTTCATTTTGGAATTGATTTTCCAGATCTGACATCTTTTAGGAATTCCGACATTCTTTTTACTAGTTGAAGTTAATATATCGTTAACAATCAAATTTGCATAACTAATTAATCAAATCCAAATCAGCATATGAGAGAGGCCAACCATCGTAGATTGTAATTCAAAAAAATTAAAATTAAAAATAAGCAGATGCATTTTTCAAACACACTTGTACATTTTTAGAACAATTTACCATACATTTCCCAACAGATGCCGTCTTTAGAAAACTTTGAAGAGAAAAGAAAGGAACAACTTCTCAGTATTTTCAGAAAGTCGGGTCCAGACAACATTTTAATGGCTCCGAGAACAGTCACATTTTGGAATTCTTAGTTTTCATTTTCAGAAATGGACAGAGATAAAAGTGAGCTTTTGAAAAGGTGAAGGAAAGGAAAGAGAAAGGCAAAGGTGAACGAAATACAAGTTAAATTTTTTCTCCATGTCCCTCGCCTTTTTCTTTCCCTTTCCAAATCTCTACCTAAATCCATGATCTAAACACATGATTAAGGAATTATACATAAAAAGCTTCAAATCCTTTTGGTTTCAATTTCATGCAATTCAAATTTCAAGGAAGACAAATGTGATGAATAAAATGAAAACTGACCTCCTTAGCAACAGCTTGAGCTGTCCTCCAATTATCCCCAGTAACCATTACAGGTTTGACACCCATTTTCATAAGGCCTTCTACAACCACAGCAGCTTCTCTTTTTAGTTGATCTGCTACTCCCAAAACACCAATTAGGGCACTATCACATGCAACAAGTATACCCGTCTTTGCACTTTCTTCCAATTCTACAACAAAATCTTCTGCAGACTTTGGAATGGCAACCCCATTTTCAGTCATTAGTTTCCGATTACCAACCTGTTGAGCATGTACAACGAAAAATTAAGCTCAACTTCTTTCCTACAAACTTCATAGAAAAGTATTGAGTCGCTTTGTCAAAAAAAAAAAAAAAACTCACCAAAACTTGTTTTCCATCAATAAAGCACTGAACACCTTTTCCAGGAAGAGCAGAGAAATCCAAGACATCAAGAAGCCATGCAGAGGATTTGGACTCTTCAATGTTGTTTTGGGCATCCTTGGTAGTTGAAGGCTTGTCAAAGAAATGGAAGTGGCGGGCATATTCCACTATCGCTTTTGCCAATGGGTGTTCACTGCTAGCCTGAGCCACAGAAAGGAGCCAAAATCATTGGGTGTTCCTAGTTTATAAAGGCTTTATTGTTTAACATGTCCACTTCCACCAAACCCAACAGCCACGCCCCCCCCCCCCCCCCCTTTTTCTCAAAAATAAATACATAAATAAATAATTAAAAAAAGCTCTCATCTTGTTATTAATGTTACAGTTACGTCCTAAATCACAATTGGTTGGACCTTAGTAGTAGGAAACTCCCACTCAAGTGACATTTCTTACTATAAAACACAATTCCACACTGCCAAGTAAGAAACTTGCTCCCAACTGAGATAGAACCTCCCAAATATACAAATCTCAAAGAAACAAAGGAAAAAAAACTCATTATTCTCATACTTTCTATTTACATAATATTTATTCATATTTAACAATGACAATTTGCAGTTGACATCAATCTCTAATATTTTTTCACATTTGAACACATATATTACAACTAAGCAGGAAAAAATAATTGATAGAATATATTTATATATTTACTACACAAAATATATAATGCTGAGGATCAAATAGTCAAGAAATTTGTAGTTACCTCTGCTGAAGCTACCAATGTAAGGAATTCTCCAAGTTTCATTCCTGTGAAAACTTTGGCAGCTGCAACAGTGGCTTTTCCCTGGGTTAGGGTGCCAGTTTTATCAAATACCACATATTTAATCATCTGAGCCCTCTCCAATGCATCTCCTCCTTTTATTAGCACACCATTATTAGCTCCAACTCCTGTTGCGACCATGACAGCAGTTGGTGTGGCCAAGCCAAGTGCACACGGACATGCAATCACCACAACCGATATCGAAAACATGAGAGAAAAAACAAAAAAATTGCCATTTTTTGGTAGCCATTCTTCTGGGTAAGCTCCCATAACTCCACCAATATACCTACAAATATTAAAATATAAAATTAAAAAGAACTCGGACTAACATTCCACTGATATTATCAATTTTTCTAGCAGTATGACCATGATGAGTTGATCCATTGTTAGCTTACCACACTAATAAAGTCAACACTGACAAAGCAACAACTGTAGGGACAAAAATGCTAGCAACCTGTAAATCACAAACATACCTAGTGTTAGGAGTGATGACACCACTTCTGTTTTTAGAGTAAGAAATATTATACACCATTAAATAAGGAACTAGAAAAAAGAGTGCAAGTTACAAGCCCATTAAGGATGGAAGGAGCGGCAAGTTGATAATATCCAACACAATAACCATAATACTTGACTAATCTCTATAATTTTTCTTCAATTTGAGTTTAGGGAAGAAAAGAGGGGAGGGGAGGGGGGGGCGCGTGTTCAATGCTTATATTTCTCTAGATTTCCTTCATCTGGGAGTATTTTAAGATATGGTTCAGGTAAAGTGAAATAGTAGAATAAGAAACGATTGTGCTTTCTCATGTAGGTGAGAAAAGAAAAGAAATGAGTGTATTTTCTCACTATTAAGTTTGGGTGAGTAAGAAAGCAAAGTATGTGGTAAAAGGATATGGGTGAGATTTCGTTTTCTTCCTTCACATTTTAGCAGGCAATCTCAATATTATAGAAAATACAAAACCAATCAATTTGTTTCTCACCACTTTTGGTGAAGAAATGAAACTTATAAATAAGAAAGTGCTCTTTCTCACCATTTCTCACCTAACTTACATACCAAACATGCGAAAAGATATCTGTTTCTCTTCAATTTTTATCATTTCTCACCAAATCACTGAACCCAAAAGGACTGTAATAGCAGTTTACAGATCTCAGATATTAAAATGCTAAATTCGAAAAGTACTTGATCAAGGCAATGTTTGACTATTTTGGAAGAACTTGTTTAGTTTTCTTCAAATATTTGCTTCCATGACCAAGAAAAGTACTTCAAAATAGTAACAACTCATGCTGAAGTTAAAGCAGAGTAGACCAATACTCACAAAATCAGCAAACTTCTGAATAGGAGCTTTGGACATCTGTGCTGTTTCCACCAGAGAAATTATCTGGCTCAAAACTGTGTCAGACCCAACTTTGGTTGCTTGTATGTGAAGGGAACCATGCAAATTCATTGTACCTCCAATAACCGATGAATTCACCTCCTTCGAGACAGGTGTGGATTCACCAGTAACCATACTCTCATTAATATAACTTGAACCCCACATAACAACACCATCTACAGGAACCTTTGTACCGGGAAGAACTTTTAAATTGTCACCAGGCTGAATGAGCAATGCATCTATCTCTTTTTCTCCAATATTTTTTCCACCTAGAAAACCAATAAAATTAACCGTACTAACATCAAGATTTCAAATATCATTTAGCATCTATTTTGGCAAGTGATGAACCAAAAAGGTTATCAGGTTTTTATTTTTTTTCCTTCTTTTATTGGTTCTTTTTTATATAATAAATGTTACTGTACTTGAGCATAATAAAATAAGAAAAACTTCAAATGATTAAAGCAAACTTACCTTTGTCTTGGACAAGCAATAAAGCTGTTGCAGGCGTAAGCTCCACTAGCTTCTTTATAGCATCTGATGTCTTCCCTTTGGCAAGAGTTTCCAAGTACTTTCCCAATAGAACAAATGTTATTAGCAACGCACTTGTTTCAAAGTATGTTGGAGACCAAAATCCAGTGACTGCACCATATAGAAGTGCACCAACAGAGTAGAAGTAAGAGGCAGAGGTACCCAATGCAACCAAGACATCCATGTTTGTTGATCCATTTCGAAGTGCTCTGCCAGCTGCAATATAGAAACGTTTCCCAATACCAAATTGAACAACAGTAACCAATGCCCACTTCAACCAATCACCCATTTGGAACGGCCCACATTGTCGGAGCAACAAAGAATACAGCAACGGTATTTGAGGGCAGAGTACTCGCATTAGAAACACAGGAATCTGGCACCAACATATAAGGTATCAGCATTGACCACTTTAAAAAGTAAAGACATTAAGTATTGGTAACTGATTGGTGTTTGAAAGGTGATTATAGCATGCTATTGAAAGGATCTCATGTCATGCTATTACACTAAGCATTTTTCAGGAGATACATATTCCCAGAACTTACCAATTTTTTAAAAATAAATAAGGCAAAGCAAAAGAAAATAGGATGAAAGCAAGAAGTGAAATTTTTGAGAAACTAGTAAGAAAGGAAGAAACAAGTGATATTCTTATATAATCTGTTATCATAAATTATACACATCTCTAAATTTTACAAGGAAAAAAGGCCAGAATTCTAGGTGTATCTCCTTTTAAATTTGGAGTGGTAGGTCTCTGTATATGAAACATGAGATATACGGAATAAGATACCAAATAGCATTTCTTGGACCTATTTTTCATTTCACAGAAAATAAGTGCTAAGAGGCTTCTAAAGGAGCCAACTAAATAAAACCTACCTGACAAGGAATTGGTTGAGAATAGTAGTTACAGTGTAAATTCTACCAGTAAAAAGGGGGAAATGGATGAAAAATATGGCAAAACTGTGCAGGTAAAATAAAATTACTCACACTGAGAAGTAGACTGGCAGTGAAGAGCCAAAACATTTTTGTTAATTCTTCTATATCTTTAGAAGTCATTCTTGTATAAGGGTTCTTGACATGTAATTTAAACTTTCCAATGCTTCCACTCTCAATTGCATCAACTAAGGATCTAGTACCAATTACTTCAGGATCAAAGAGAACTTCTAGTTCTTTTGATACCCTCTCAAAACGAAACTGCCTCACTCCTTTCAAGTTGCAAAGTATGCTGTCTAAAGTATGTGCATCAAGCTCATTGGATATTCCAGCAACCCCTAGTATGATTTTATCCTGCTCACTGCTCTGAACAAGTGCACCTTCAAAACCAGCATCTTCTATTGCATTGACTATATCATCCTTACTTATTACAGTAGGATCATACTCAACTTCCCCCAATGAAGTGGCCAAGGCAACTACTGCCCTTTTAACACCAGGAAGATCTCTTAAGATGCCTTCAACAGAATTCACACAAGCTGCACATGTCATACCTCCTATAGTGAACTGCCCCACCAGGGTTCCATGAGGTTTTGTTCGAGATATACTGGGTTCAGGAATAACTTCTGCCTCAAACCCTGCATCTTCTATTGCAATCTTGATGTCTTCTTCCTGAAACAAAACTTTGTTTAGAATAAAACCCCATGTTCACATTAGCTAGTTCCTAGTTGGAATCAAGCACTAGAAGCAAGCCCATACCAACAATAAGGTCAAGAAAACATCCCTAAACTATATCAACCTAACACAGTGCAAAAGAAAACATCTACAGTTTTCAAAAACTTGACCAGAAGCTATATTCAAGATAGAAGATACTGACAGACACAACAGAAATTATATACCATGAAGATCAAAAAATACTAGAGCCAAAGATTTAAACTGTTTGTTAACACTGAAAACAAACCCATACTAAGAAGGTCAAACAACATCTCAAAAAATGTGTCAACCTGACACAGTGCAAAGGAAATAAGCAAAGGGTTTAAAATGATTGGAGAAAAAAAAAAACTCATTCTATACAGGATAGAATATACTGACAGTGACAGCAATGATCACAAAATGATAAACCCAATACATCCACACACAGCTGAATCAATGTCGTATAATATTAAAAAGCTTTCTACGTGGTTCAAAGCAACAAATAGATGGTGAATTTTATACATCCAACAAGAAAGCATGCTCATGCAAACAAGAATGGTCACGGTAATATACACAATGCAGGTAGAGAAAGGTAGCAGGACATGAATTTTGTTAGTGTGCATAGTCAAAACATAGAACAACGTACACACACCTGCTATGAGAGACAGAGAGAGAGATTTTTATTTTTTCTAAGGTCTTAAAGAGATTTCCAGTACCAAACATCTGCAATTCAAAATTTTGCAAAACTAACACTTGACGTTGTCCCCTGCCATTAAACCCAAATTCAATCAGTTGTATCTCAAATTTCCCTAAACAAACACGCTACATGATCATGTGAATCACAAACACAAAGACTGAGCAACACATCTACCTCTGAATTAATGAAACTCCAATAATTGAAAACAAGATATACATGAATCAGATCAACAGAGCAAAAAAAGAATAATCTTGACCAATTAACGACAGGCTTGTTCTGAAGCAAAAACTAAACACATGCCATTACACTATAAAAATCAACCCACATATGGTCAAGTATAATCCAAGCTTCCCTAAACAACCTAGCAAGCACACTCCATGATCATACTTCACCAATAACAACAGAAACAACTAAACATAATAGTGCAAAGGAAAATTCTGTACAAAAACACAATTTTTTCAAAGCTTTAGGATGCAAATGGAACCCAATAAACTAACATGTTAGTGTCACATCAATTTGTAATAAATGTTTATAAATTTAGTTTATTTGTATAGCACTAGTCCAAAACAATCTCTCCCCAGAGTCAAAAGCAAAATGAAAAGAAATCTAAATTAATAATTACCCATTACCCAATTATGAGCACTAACCCAAGATTCAATTCACCAACTGTATCAAATTAATTTAAACAAACCCACCATTACAATCCACAACACATGTAAAAAATCACAAAGACTAGTAAGTTCACACAGTAATAAAAAAAATTCAAAGCTTTAGAATGTGAATGGAACCCAATAAACTAACATGTTTAGTGTTAATTTATTTGTATAGCACTAGTCTGGTCCAAAACAATCTCTCCAACTATAAATTAATAATTACCCAATTGTGAACACTAACCCACGATTCAATTCACCAACTGTATCACATTACGATCTACAACACAGGTCAATCACAAAGACTAACAAGTTGACAGAGTACAAAAACACAGCGTAAAGCTCGAAATCAAGCAATTAACACAACCCCATGCTCCGATTCTCCATCCATCTCAAAATCAAATAGAAAAAGGACTAACCTTGACCAAATTAGGATCAAAAACCACATCGGCCTTGTTCTGAAGCAGAGCCACCGAAGCTCGAAGCACGCCATTGACGCTTCTGAGAGCTCCTTCGACGGAATTCGAACAAGCCGCACAAGTCATCCCGGTGACCGCGACTTGAATTCGCTTCGTACCTTCCTCGAAACCCTCCAATTTAGCAGAATTCCCATCTTCGTAGTCATCGAGAAGCCTCACGTCCTCGAGGTCGCCGGATTCCTCGTCGATCGCCGCCTGTTTCCGTCGTCCTCCTCCACCAGCCGCCGTCAGCTGGAGGTCCCTCAATCTCGGCGCCATTCACGGAACCCAGAAGAAATCTGTATCTATATATAAATATATACAGATACAGAGAGAGAAAGAGAGAGAGAGAGAGAGAGAGGAACAGAGGGAGAGAATCTAGAGAGAGAAAGACAATGTTTGGAGAGAGAGAGAGAGACTTTTCCGAAGGAGGAGGTGAAGACAGCAATATTTCAAGATGGTGGAGAGGACGGGCAGGTAGAGAGCAAGAGAGAGTATTGTTTTGAATTGACAGATATGGGCACGGGGCTTTCTTGAAATTACAGTTATGTCCTTGGCTCGTACTATCTCGTTTTTGTACTACATATATGTGGGACTACGTCCAAACTTTTGCGTAATAGATGATCTGACAATGATTTTAATTAATTACTAATAAGTTGAATGAAGTTGTATTACATTGACATCCATTTGGAAAAAATAGTAATGATTTAGAGTATTAATTTTGGTATTTTAATATAATATTAATGACATGACAGAGAGAAAAAAAAAAGAGATTAAAATATTAAATCATAGTAGGTGGAATTCATTGTCAACTCATTAGAGCTGGTTTTAGAGTTCAAGAATTAAAATTTCGAAATATTTTTCTAGAGAAAATATAAAAGGAAAAGATTATATATATTTTATAGTTACAAAAAAAATGGTATAATTACTGGAAAAAAAATGATATAATTTTATATTTTCTCAATCATAACTATAAAAAAAAAAATCAAACACAAAAAAGTCATAACCAAATATCTCAAAATAATGTCATAACTAAAGAAAAAAAAAATAACGTAATTAATAATGTATATGATATAAGAATGTGTATAATAGAATTCTTCAATATAAAATCTACCATTTTGATGTAATTACATTTAATTTTTTAATAGAATTAAAGGTATCATAATTATGTAAAATATATGGTAATATAGTTTTTTAAATAACATACATTAAGCTTTTTGAATTTTGAAGAAAATACGGTAAACTTATGAGATAATTACATTGGGGTTTTTTTTAAGTTTTAATTCATATAATATTTGGCCCTCTATGTTATCTACATTAATTTTAGTTTCTTTAATCTTACTAAAAGAGAATGTAAGTGTAATTATGTCCATATGTAGGGCTTTCTGGATTTTTTCTAAACTTCAATGGAAGGCAGTATAATTTACCCTAATTTTTTCATTTATATAACTAATGAATTTTGATAAAAAATTAAACCTTCAAAGTTCAATGTAATTATGATAAATTTGTGTGTTTATTATATTTTTTCTAAACTTTAAAATAGATTAATGTAATTTATCTTTTAAATTAAGAAATTGGATTGCCGCTAGTACTATCCAAATATTGGACCATGCAATTTTGAGCTCCTAGGCCCCCATGTAACTATTTTAATAATTTAAATTATTTATTTCTTAAATATTGTATGTTGATCAACTTTGGAAAAAAAAAATCATATTGAGTTATTTAATAAATTCATCACAAAAAATAAATGATAAATATAATTTTGAAAATATGCAGCCGAATCTTTCAAACACAAATACACTCAATATTATGTTTGCTACACTTATCCACTCAAACCTAATCTTATGTTTCTAAGCCTATTATTTCACTCTCAAACCTATCTTAATTTTCCAGTCCTAATCAAATTTGGCAAATTACGTTTTTAACAATTAACTTTTACTCAAATTTTATTTTGATATTTTATCTTTTAATTATAATAATTAAATTGTTATATTTTCATCTGTATTTTAATATGATTCTTCTATCAATTATCATTTAAAATTTGAAAGATGCTTAGGTAAGCACGTTTTAGAGACATTATATGACAACTTATAGAATAAATTTTGCCTTTTATCTTCTATCGTTTACTCAAATTTTAATTTGGTCTCTTATATTTCAAATTTCACTTCAATTTTAAATAACATGATGAGAGGAGAATTACATTGAAATATAATTAAGTTCTAATAACTTAATGGTTACACCAAAAAAAATAGAGGATCAAACGTGTAATTTATCATAATCCCTTCGAGTCTTACTATTTCAGGTCCTAATCATAGGTTTCGTTTGAGAACTAGGTTGTCTTTTTAATTTTTTGATTTTTTGGCTATTTTAACCAAAGGCTAAAAAGTTTTGTTTGGGTCTTTTGACTTTTTTGATTATTATGAGAGGAAAAAATAAAATGATTATAATTTAAATATAATATTTTATTTTACTAACTTTTTAACTTGTATTTGTAGCAATCTTAGCCTTAGCGCTCCCAACCAACGTGCCACACGAGGGTATAGATTCATAGTTTCCATTTTTATATTGGACATTTTATTTATCTTGGACTCGTAATACTAAGGCCAAGTTTGAGAAGACTAAATAAGTGCACTTTTTGTCTTTTTAGACTAAAAAGTTGAGGTTGAAAATATGAATGTTTGGGTTAACTTTTTGACTTTTTATGGAAAAATGTGTAATAAAAAATTGTAAAAATTGATTTGTAGGAGAAAATTAGAATTGGGAGTTGTGCAGCCGTAATTGTTGACTTTTGGTGAATAGTGATAACTTTTTAACTTTTTGAGTAACTTTTTGACTTTTTGACTTTTTGGGGTGTTCCCAAACTTGGCCTAAGAACATAGAAAGTTGTATAAAAAAAAAGTGTGCACGCAATGCACTTTTCTTCATTTTTTTGTCTTTCTAGCTTTTGGTTTTTTAATCGATTATAAATCATGGGATGTAAAATCAAACTAAACATTTTAATCGATTATAAATCATGGGATGTAAAATCAAACTAAACATTAAATTATGAAGTAAAATTCAACACATAATCACAAGTATAAAACAAATTTAACAAATACAAGAAAGACTTAAATATATTTCAAAATTTATTTGAAATCTACTCATAATGTAAAAAAATTAAAAATTAAAAAAATAATAATAATTTGATTATAGTTTTTGTGAGTTTTTGTTATATCCATTGTGATATTGGTGTTTTTTATCAGAAATTGTGATATTGGTGTTTGATAATTTATTTACTTTGCCTTTTAGTCACGTAGAAACAAGAAAATGCATTATGATATAAAAGAAAAAAACTAACAAAAAGTTGGAAGAAAATATACAAAGAGAAAAGATTTGTGCCTCGAATGAGGCTCCCCCGAATGCCCCGACGTCCTTCTCTTCTTCGTCTTCTTCCTTCTTCTGCTGAAAAAAAATAATAATACAAAAACAACGACGTTTTGTATATTAGGGGCATTCGGGGCTCCCACATTCGGGCTCCCAATCACAGCTCATATACAAAACAAGGGGGCACAGCACAATCACATGATTCATGCTTTCACATATGTAAATATTCTATACTAGGAGTGGCAATTTAAACCCGATCCGACTGAGACCCGGCCCCCGACTCCAATTAGAATGGTATTTTCTTGAAAAATACACCCGACGGTAGGGGTGAGCATCGGATATACCGATCTTCCAAAACCAACCGAACCGATCCGCCGCAATTTGGACGGATGCGTGATGACGAGCAGACGGTTGCGGATTGATTTTCTCCACTCTCCTAATTTGGCAGACGGATGGTGGATTTGAGATTCCTTTGGCCGCAACCGAACCGCCAAACCGCAAGCACCCCTAGTAATTTATGAGACTTTGTGTTTTTAGTTTGTTTAAATATTCTGTTTGTATTTTCAATTAAAAAAGAATTTAAATATTTTGTTGAAAAAAAGTTTTCGACTTAAATATCTTTTTTGAATTGAAAAAAATAAATGTATTATTTATTTATATTTTTTGGTTTTTAAATCTATCTCTAAAAATAATAAATAGAAAATATGATATATGATATATGATATATGCTGGTTGATTTTTGTTTTCAAAAACAGAGATATATATATATATATATATATAACAATACAGAGACATACAATCTCTATTATTGCTCTGTTCATGGTTTTGGTAGTTTGAATTGTTTTTATATTTTAAGAACTGTACGGGAAAGAAATAATTCTCCTCGTATAATCCTGTTGACTAAGTCCACGCTCCTCCGTACGACGTCGCTTTGTCACCTGAAAGCAAAAACGTAAGCTAGCCGGCGGGTGTGCGCCGGAAACCTCTCTGATGCCTAAGTCAGAAAATTTGACAAATAGACAAAGCTCAATGTATTCAGTAAGCAAAATTGTATGTTGTCTTATGTTACCTCCTCCAAGGTAATGCTTGTGAGCTTTTATAGGTTTCAAGTGGCATAATCCTAGTAGGACTTTTATTTCTCCATGCAGAGTCCTCCTAGGATTCATATTCCTAAAGGATAATGCTTATCCTTTTACACCCCCCCTCACTGCTTAAACCAAGTGGGATGGTTTTTACTTTGGCCGAATTACCATATGACCGAAATAATACTGGCTATACCGAGCCACGGAGTAGGCCGTACTAACAGTAGTTCGGTTCTTCTTCTTTCTACATCATATTTCAGTTCTCTTTATGCACGAACCATGGTGTGGTTGGACTAGTCTACCGAGTAGCAACATTCCGACCGACCTACCCAGAATACATCATGGCCAGACTATTTCCGAGACCGACCTTACTAGAAAAGTTGTACGGACCGGAGTAACTTAACATCTCTTCTGGGCCGAAGTAACTTTTCCATTCTTCAACCGGAGTAACTTTCTTACTCTTGGACCGGAGTAACTTTTACATTTCCATTGGGCCGGAGTAACTTTTACATTTCCATTGGGCCTTTTTATCTAGTCCTTCGTACTTTGGGTCATAAAGTCCATCTCTGTAGCTCGGCCCAATTTTTACCAAAAATTACCCTCTCAATTGCCCCTTAATTCCATCTGCACAGCATGATTGGGATTACCAGTCTACTAGCCGAACTAGAGTTTTTTAAGCTTTCCAGCCGAGCTAAAAACCCTTTAGCTTCTCCAGCTGAGCTAAAAACTCCAAGCTTTTTAAGCCGAGCTAATTCTTACTCCGGGCACTGTTTTGTCCGGTCAAAACGTCTCTTCAATCATGATTGTAACGCTACCCTTTCCAATGACACGTGGCAGATTCTGATAGGCTGGGGGCAGCTGTCACGCTGCCCTCGTACTACGAAATTTTTTGAACAGTTCCCGCCCTTTCTCTTTCTCTTTCCACAAAACAAACATTTTGACCTTTGGATTAACCATTCTATCATTACCTCTCCTCTCTCTACCCTGTGTTCTTGCTGTTCTTCCGTTGCACCT